TCAACTACCTGAAGGATGGTTCCAAAGAGGATGAAGCTATACTGTTCTCAGGGGTGGCAGATGACAGAACGAGGCAATGGTCTCAAATTGCAGCAAGGGAAATTTAGGGTAGCTATTAGGAAAGCACTGGAATAGGTTACCCAGAGAGGTTATGGAATCTCCATCCTTGGAAGTCTTTAAGACCTAACTAAACAAAGCCTTGGCTAGGATGATCTAGCTGAGGATAGTCCTGCTTTGAGCAGGGGGTTGGAACAGATGACCTCCTGAGGTCCCTTCCAACCCTACTTTTTTTTTTTTTTTTTTTTATAGTTCTAAGGACCAAGTCCTGGGTTCTTATCTTCTAGTCCATGCTGTTCAGACAGTGTTATATGTTCAAAGAAACAAAAACAAAAAACTCCAAACCAAACCCAAACCAAACACAAATAAACAACCTTGATAGCAGGGACCAGAAGCCAGGATTTGGCCCTTCCTGGGGGAAGTGCTCTAACCACTAGGCTACAGAGTAATCATTCTGCTTGCTTGCTCCTTCCTGGCTTCCTGAATGCCCATGTTCAACAGAAACAGTCTGGCTCACTTCTGAACATGCTCAGTAGACCAAATCTGTATTTCTTCAGGGCCAAATGTGGCTGTAATGAATCTCGGAACCAAGAATTTGTGTAGCCACTAAACTGATTTGATCTGGATTGCTCTTCACACAATATAAGTACCTACTTTCTGCCAAAGTCCTGTTAGGCACCTAGAAAAGTAAACCTGGATCCAACCCTGTGTGTAGAACTCAAATGAACTACAGGTGCCTTTGAAAAGCACCCACATTTTATCTGGTCTTAAATAGTTTGTTTTGCTCACCTAATTCATTTTCACTTATGCATATGCATAATTTGATTCTGAATACATTCCCTACTTTCTGCTAAGTAAAAGGATAAATAAATACCTTCTTGTGGAGAAGCATTTTAATCGTAGCAATGATGAATCCAGATCAAAGCACCCAGACTGCATCTTTCTCTGTGGAACCTTAGAGGAAATACTGTGCATCACAAATGTTGTTGCTAGTAACAATTTTGATTTTACAAAATGACAAAGGATAGATAATGTTTTTGCATATGAAATTCAAATATTTAAAGTTATTAATGTCAATCATTAAATATTAAAATTCCTGTTGTACATTTTGGTAATTACAGAAAATAAAAAAAAAATCATCAGCAGAAGCACCCAGAAATTTTTAAACTGAAAACCACAGCCAAACCACAAAACAGAAATCTTCCCCAAAACACTGTTCTGTTCATTCAGGAAAAAGTACATATCATTGGAATGGAAAAACAAACGTGACTTGTTTTACGTAGAAGCCAAGTCATGCTTTTTTGTCTATGTATCAAACTGTTAATACAATATATTTACAGGAGAATGTCAATACCTTTCCCTTTTTAAAAACAAAACTTTGTTGGTTAAAAGAGCCCATTTAATAAAACACCAAAAACTTTTGTATGCATAGCAAGAAATAAAAATACTTTCCTGAAACACATCATGTCACTATGTTAAGTGATAATTAAGTGAATGCCTCCTCTGACAGGAGAAAAAGGTTTTATTACCTAGAGCTAACAGAAGTAAAGGCTTTACTCTTCATTATCCTACCTAGTGTTAAACCATGATTTGTTGACCATGAATTAAATATTCATGTTTATCCTCATGTACACAACTTTTCAAGCACCTTCTTCTGGCCCTTTTCTGTACTATAGAATGTTGTACGATTAAACTTCTGTGGTCATCAGATATGAGTGGTTTTGGTTTTTAAACACACATTATTCTTCAGTTGTGAGCTTTAATTTTAAAATTCACCACTAGGTAGATCACTATGTTTTCTTAGATTGAAAAATACTTATATACTTTATATTTTTCTAGAATAGATGGACAATATAAAATGTTACATTTTTGCTGTTTCAAAAATGAAAACAACTTACAGGACTTGAAAGAAGAGGTAATCCAGTTCGAGGATGGAAGGCCTTGGTTGAAGTCCCATCTAAAGAGCGAAAATTGTGTTTCCGCCAAATATTTGAATGTTTGAAGGATGATGGCTTCTGCCAGTGAAATAAATTTATGGAAGGTAGTAACAAGATACTTGAAGGCCTATCACAATAAAACTTAGTTTGTTTTTTTAAAAACATTAATGTTTCTAGTGTCTGCTGTAGCATTTTAAGATTATATGCTGGTTCAGAGAATTGAGCTGTTACTGTTTTAGGAAACAATACAGAACAAAATAAATGCTCTAGAGAAAAGTTTCCTTTGGTTCTTGCAGCCACTAAGATCTAACTCACTTGTTACATAATGTCACTTAGTTAGGTGTTATTCTATTATTAAAGCCTCCAAGATGTCTTGTAAGTAGTTAGTAGTGTCCACAGGAACTGTCATTAGGAGTTGTTTTGATGAGAAAGACCTGGCAATCCTCCTCTAACTACACAGCACAAAGAAAAATGCACACAGTCAATCTTTAGGTCTGAAAGCAGAGGATTTAGCTACGATGATTTTGTATGAACATCATGATTAAAAAGACATCTACCTATTTTGAAATTCTCTCTAAGTTGATACACAATATATTATACATTATTTGATTATGAGTTCCTCTCCTTTTAGATAAGCCCTTACCTGCACATCTGTATTCTTCAGCCGTTCACACCTACTCAAATAATCTTCTACAAGTTTCTTCTGAGAACTGCTTTGAGGTTCATGATCTGTTGGGTCTTCATTCTCATCATGTTCATTTTTAACTTTATCTTGCTTGTTTTTGCATTTGACATTGTCATGGTCTTTATTTAAATAGTTTTCAATACTAACGAGTTGAGTATTTTGCTCATAAATATTTGGTTTTTTTGAGTCTTTATCTAAGCACCTGAAGTCATTTTTGTGCAAAATGTCAGATGTCTGCAGAGTTGCCTTTTTTGTACTTTCAAGTATTTTTAACCTATCTATCTGTGGATTGTTAGCACACTCTATGTTGCTGTTCTCACTAATGATAGTTTTCTCTTTTAGTTTATTTGCGCAAATCCAGTCATCAATGCTGTTAGAACACTGTTTAGCAATACTTTTACTGGTTTCTTGGTCTTTATGTGGATAACCAGAAAATACTATTTCCAATTTATCTGGCAATTCAGATTTATTTTCTTTGATACATGTTGTATGCGTGCTAGTAAGTGAATTGACAGTTTTATTTAAAGTCTGCTGAAATGTATTTTGGATAACTTCATTAGGTTTTGCTAGAAGCAATTTCCTTCTTGCTTGGGGTTTTGGAGAAGCCTTCAATTCACCATCAGGTCTACAAGAACTAATAGGAGTATCAAGTGTTTTGGTCTTCAGTTTATTGAGGTCTTCTAATGCAGCTAAATCAGTTTTAGAGAGAGAAACAGAAGCTGTTTCCTTGCTTCTCTTTAAGGAGTTTTCCTCTTCACATGAATTTCGAAACATTTTTGAAGCAACTGAACTGGCTTCATGCATACTGAATGGACGCCCAGCAATGTGTGAAGTAGCTGGATCACAGTGAATCAGGTGCTGGGCAATCCTTGCTATAACTTCCTGTCGCTCCTGGAGTAGAGAGCCTATCAAAGGATTAGTCATCTCTCCTACTGGCTGATGGCAACTGTGATTCACTGGAACATGGGAATCAAGCAATGGGATCTCTGGCATTCCTCTCATTTTGCCTTCACTGCCATCTTCTGATGAAGTAATATCTGGAATACTGACAGAAACAGTGGAGGTTTCCCTGCTTTTTCTCAGCAGGCTTTCATCTTCGTAAGTACTCCGAAAAATTTTTGAAGTAGCTGAATTGGTTTCATGCACACTGAGTGGGCATCCAGTTTTGGGTGGAGTTGTTGGGTCACAGTGAACCAAGTGCTGGGCAATCCTTGCAATAACTTCCTGTCGTTCCTGAAGTAAAGAACCTATAAAAAGATTAGTCTCTCCTAAGGGCTGACGGAAACAGGAGCCATTTGAAACATGGGAATCAACCAATGAAAAAGATTTAAAAGTTCTGATCGATATTTCATTTTTCTGTGTTTTATGGTCTGCTGTGGAATTACAGCACTGAATTTTAGACTGTGATGCTCCAAAGTCAGACCCAAGACCAGTTGTTGGATGCAGTTTTAAATTTTTGACAGATGCAGTAAATTCAGGGGATTTTTTTGCATTAAGTAAGCCTTCAGGTGTTACTGTCCATGTTTGTTTCCCATACAGGCGCTGTGAACTGGGCATACTGCATTGCTGTGCCTCAGTGGAGTCACAGTGCTGATGTAGGTTATGTTCTTGAATTCTCTTTTCATAAAAACCAAGGTGTGTGTGAATACTACAAGTCAAAACTGGATAGTTAGATTGTCTTGGCAAAGACTGGACGCTGACTTTCAAGGCCACATTGTGAGAAACATTAGGAACAGGAAACACATGTTCAGTTGGTGTCTGGGAGAAAGTCCACTGCAGGTCTACATCAGCAGCACTTACTCTGAAACAATACATAAGAATTTCCATATTAATTTTCACTGCATGCAGATTTTTCTAAAGAAATAAAATTTTTAGAGAAAAGGCATTAAGAAACCACCAACTAACATATATTGCAAAATTCCCAAACTAAATGTTAGAACAATCAGTGAGAAAAGCTTGACCACATAAGTCCTGAACATAAACAGGGGAAAGGAGAAGTAGAGAGAAACAAATGACTTTCAGACTTGTTTGGTAAAAATTAAGCAAATGGCTCTTTTTGCCTCAGACCTACCTGTACAGAATATTACGTGGAACAGCACCATGCGAAACACTTAGCCAAGCACTTAACTGAGAAAAGAAAACAAAAGAGCGGACAGCCAATAAGAGGGTCTTCTCTTCAATAAATCGATCTCCACTTCTAAAACACATTAAAAAGAAAAAAAATCAGGTGTTGGTAAAAAGCATTACAAAGAAAAGTAAATAATGCATACAGCACCTTTACTTTTATCTTGTTAAAAATCTTAGGAACTGTAACAGTATATTGCAGCAACAGATCTTGCTTTGAAAACATTTCCTTTCATCACCCTTGAACTGAAGTCGCATATTTTCTAAACATCCTGCAGGAAATTATAATTCAATGAACAACTACATAAAGATGAACAAAGACACATGTGTTATCAAAACAACTAGCAATCAATAATTGAAAATAAAATCTGCCCTCCAAGTGCCGTGTTGGAAAAACAAGCCATATTGTTGTGGTGAACAGTCATGAAGAGTGATGCATGTCCTTAACAAAACCCATACAGTACACTTAGAAAAAAAATCACCAGGATTTATTCTCTTCTACCTACATAACCATTTTTTACATCTTCAAAGCATGTATACAATGCTTTCATTCTCAGTGGGTACATGTGGTGCAAGGCTGTCAGAAACAAAGCTCAAATTTTGATAGTGTGTACTTATTTTCCAGACACAGCACTAATGATGTGGGAGCAAAATCTAAGGTATGAAACCAGCTGGTTGCCCTGCATGAATCCTTACACTTTAAACTGCCCTTCCCCTCTACTGCCGGACCAATATCCACTTACTGTCGGGGAACTGGTTCCAAAATCCACCTCTCTAATAACAATGCATCTTGTTTGATTGCAGGATCATTTAAATCATTCCCTTCAGTGGTGGGGCCTTCATCACTATAGCAACAGTCTGGAAGTAGCATCACTTCTACCATGATAGGAATATTATTTTTCCACAGCAGCATAACCTCAGACCTGGTTCGTCTGGCTTGGCGACACTAAAACAAAGCCACACATACAGACAATATATTAGTTGCACCTAAATCTGCTTGAAGGCAATATCAGCAGTAACCAAAAAAGATTAAGAGCCCAACCTGGCAAAACACATCTGTGTTTTTCCAGATAACAAGATGGTTGTGGTGGCATTACAAATGCGAGGCAAAACAGAGTTATTTGATGACAATATGGGAGAATTGGTTAAGGTTGCTCATACAGATACAATCCCCATCACCTGCATTCTGTTATTTGCACTTCTCTTTCTGTGAGGCCCCTCCATTAAGATTCCAGTATGCTGTAGGGGTTTTAAAAATCCTAGGTCTGAAGTGACCCTTCTGCATGGCCAGAGAGGCATGATGACAGAGCACTCTGAAAATCTCTACCTTCTGAGTTGGAGCATGCTAACCTGTTTCCATCAACTACCCCTACCCTAGAAACCCCCTCCCCCCCCAAAGCCTTTCATGATTACCTAGAAATGCAAGAGCAATTAGGAAAGTCTGCATTTAAAAACCAAAACAAAACCATAAACACTAACTATGATTGTTTATACTGCAGCTGACAAAAAGTACTTTGTAATCTGCTATGCAGAAGCATAATAGTGTTTTCAGATACCTCAGGAATAGAAATGATACTTCATATTCATAATTAAAATACCTTCTATGTGCTGTCTATCAGCATGTGCTTTTTGGGATAGCTATATTCGCAGTGTTATTTTTCAATTATGTATTTAAGTGAAAGAACCAACTTAAAAAAGAAAAAAGTGTCTATTATAAGTATCCCCTCCTACAAAGCTAGGAGGGAGACCTTCAGATTATTTAAAATTGTTGCATCTCAATGAACTTCAATGAAACCAAAACACTATGCACCAGCTGAGGATCTGTCCCCTAATTTTAACCATGAATCAGTATGGTCATACCTGTGCGAGTTTGTCACTGCATTCATGCTTAGTTGTTAGTGGTTGACTTGATTGTGCTGGAGGGCAGTGGAAACCCTCTGTCCTACCCTTTACAGAATGTTCTGGTGTTCGACCTTCAGTAATCAACAAGGCCAATGAGACAAGAAACTCCTCTGCTTCATATTCAAAGTATTCATCTAAAGCGTCTGTTGTTAAACAAAAAGAGAAAAAAAATTCATTAAAGAGTATTAAAATGTCAGACACCTTCCTATGCACATGAAAAGCATTACATCTTTCTTGTATCAGTATTTCTTATCAGCAAGCAATCTGGACTGGCTCTAAAAGGGTGAAATGGCCCATGTAAATCCATGCACTTACTGTGGGAAAGAGGCAGGGAACTAAACTGGTGGTAACGTAACTGGGAGAGGAATCCCAGAAAAGCATAACACATACACAGCCAAAGAATGACCAAATCTTGATAAAATACAGCATTTCAAACAGAGATTTTAAACATGATT